TATATATATATATATATATGTATATATATATGTTTATATATATATGTATATATATATATATAATATATATATATATTTATATATATACACATATATATACATATATACACATATATATATATATATAATATATAATATATATATATATATATATATACATATATTATATGTATATATATATATATATATATATATATATATATATATATATATATATATATATATATATGTATATATATATATATATATGTGTATATATATATATATATATATATATATATATAAATATATATATATATATATATGCATATATTTTCTGCAATGCATTATTTAAGTGAAATTAAACCTTATATATGTTTTAACCAGCCCTCAGTTAGGGTCGGCATTTGGCAGTGCTGACCTAACTGCTGATCTAAAAGTGTTTGAGGTCAGCAATTTTTTGCCGACCTTATTGTTATGTTTTATGGTAAGACCTTTGTACCAAATTTTTATTGCCGACCTCCTAAAGATTGAGGTTAGCAAATTATTGCTGACCTCAATCTTTTAGAGTTTGGTTGGTTTTAACATTACATAATTTGAGGTTGACATTAGTTAAATATTTGCATACACTTTCGATCACGTTTTTATATAAAAAAATGTGTTGTGACTCTTTATTGCCATAACCTCAGTTGCAATGGCTACTACTACTACTACTACTACTACTACTACTACTACTACTACTACTACTACTACTACTACTACTACTACTACTACTACTACTACTACTACTTTAACTAAAACTGTTAAGTGTGCCAATATTATGTAGAGACATTATGTTTTCACACGCTGCATCTTAAAATGAAATAATTCAGCAAATTTTTTTTTTTATTTTTATTTTTATTTTACTTCACCTCCTCAAGGCCGAGGAGGCTACTTATTTTGTGGCTATAACCCTCTCTCAACTCTATAACTCCGAAACATGAACCTTGACGAACAAGGCCGCTTCGCGGAGAAACGAGTTGAGCGCGGTACTACCAGGGACGTGGTGGGGATCGAACTCCGAACCACTCGTTTATGAAGCGAGCGCTCTGCCACTACACCATACCGCAAATATCTCTAACAAATGATGTTGTTTACCAAAAATTATTTCATAATTAAAAGTTAAAGAATTTTCAAAATGTCATTTCGATAGGAGAACAAAAATGTCATAGAATTTAACTGCTTAAAAACTAGAAAATAAGTTCAAATTGTTTACGTAAAAAGAAAAAAGATTTAGAATATATCATAAGGTGATCTTTTTTTATATATTATTTATATTTTAAGTAAAAAAAATCTCAATTTTATTTGGTTCTTGCATTGTGATGTTTCAACAAAAGTTAGTTTTTTGAGGTAAACGTTTATTTTGTTTTACTAAAAAATTTCAGCCAAAACATTTTTTTTAAACATTCTCTTTAATATGAACACAAATTTTCTTGGCACTTTGGGATCCCTTTAAAGAAGTCTTTTAATTTCAACTACTTTGTTTTTTAGTAGTTGTTTTTTAATGTCAACTACTCGGTGTAGTCAAGGCACTTTTAAAATATTATAGTGTCTGTATGATATTTTGTTGACTACGACATACTTCCATTAAATGGTCAGGTCTGTGAATTATGAAAAGACGAAAAATATTAAAGTGATAAATTTTGCGGTATCAAAAAAAATAAATGTTTGTAGCTAAAAAACCCAGACTAAAGATTTTTTTTTTAAATTGTCTTAAAATCACAATCGCTTGTCTAAAGTTGAATAAGATTTTAAATTAATATGTTTTTTAGGTGAAATAAACATTATAGTTTAACAATATGATCTGTTCTGATCGTTTATTGGCAATTTTTCTTAATTACAAGCTCTTTTTTAGTCGGAATTGTAGTATTTTTTGTGAAAATTGATAGAAATATTGTGTTTTGACTATATATAGTTAATATACATCAGAACCAATTATAACTAGAATCAGTAGTAAATTAAGGACTTTTTCAAAAAATTTTAACTAAATTCATGTTAATGCCAATGAGCGGAATAATTCTAAAGACTCCAAAGTAGTGTTCTTTAGATTCATTATTACGGGTGGTAAATAGGTTTTGAAAATTATATAAAAAAAAAAAAGTTTTTTTAAATATTAAAAAAACCTGAAGCAAAATAAGTTATACCATCTAAAGCTTTTGTTTGGGTATAATACGCTGATAAAGAAATCAATTAATCCGCAAATAAAAAAATATAATGCTGCTCCCACAAAGTTAACTTCAACTGAAAAGCTAGAATAAGGTTTTACCTTTTTGCGGATAAAAAATTGATAAAAAAAAAATTGATAAAAAAATCAATTAATCCGCAAAAAGGTAAAACCTTATTCTAGCTTTTCAGTTGAAGTTAACTTTGTAGGAGCAGCAGTTAAGAACTGGAAATTTCATTCATTTTTTATCATTTAGTTAGCTGAATCATGAAAACACAGTAGAATTTGTTACCTGTATTTCTGGATTGAAAACAAGATTTTCAAAAAGGTTTGCAGATATTAAGAAACATCCTGACAAAATTGTTCACAGTGCTATTTATTTTTCGTCCTTGGTGTGAAAGTTTGTTATTTTGATTGAAATTTGCAGAATATAAGATCTGTACTGACAGATACTAACTTGCAGAAAACTTTATGAATCACAACCAATCAGTTGCCAATTGACATATAAAACATTGTGCAAAAAAGGCAGGTTTGCGATTACCAATAAACTATTATTTGTTCTGTACCTAATAGCTAGCTAGTATTTTTTTTGTGCAATATTCTTTTGCAAGACCACATTAATAAGTTAAAGAAGTCAATATTAAAAAATATATATTTTTAAAAACCTCCAGCCTCCAGTTAATAGCTAAGAAACTAACTTTTGTCCTTATCAAAAAGGTTGTGGCAACCCCTGCTCTAAAACATATTATCTTGTTGATTGCTAATTATAGTAATCGCTTATCTCAAACATGGAATTAAAGCTTAGTCAAAAAGTTCATTTTGTTTAATGTAAGTAAGCGAAGTTTGGTTTTAGGTTAAAAAGTTGATTTAAAAATTTTTATTTAAGCTCATTTTATTATTTTATTGCTATTATTGTTCTTAAACCTAATTTGAAAAAAATTTAGCCAAGTTTTTTAACAGTAATTTTTGTGACTTAATAACGCTTAAAAAATGTAATTGGTTTTAAATTAATAATACCTTTTTAGTTTTTAGCATATATTAAGTATAAAAAATGGATATTGCAATAATCAAAATGGTAATTGTGGCTTTCTTATGGGGTGTTACAAATCCCTTTCTTCGAAAAGGAAGTTTACAAACAAATAATTCAGAGTTAACCTGTTTTCCTTGCAGTTATCTTAGGCGATTAGTTTTGTTTCTCAACTGGAGATGTTTTCTTCCGTTCGCTTTGAATCAATGTGGTTCAATAATTTATATGATTACATTAGGATCGTTACATCTTTCTATAACTGTACCAGTTGTCAATGGATTAACATTATTAATTACTGTGTGGGTAGGCATCTTATTACATGAAAAAATCAATACAGAAGTTATACTAGGTTCTGCTTTGATAATTTTTGGCGTAACATGTGTTGGAATTTAGTTCTCATCTGTATATCATTTAATAGTGAACTTTAATAAAATAATTTTTATTTGAATTTTTTCAAAAGTGGTAGATTTTTATTACATATAAATTTTAAATCAGATTTCAACTTGTTAAGATTTTTATCTACAAGGCCTACACAATATTAGCCTAGTTTTAATATTTAAAAAAAGAAAACTTTTTTTTCTTTTGCTAATATTCTTTTTCATGCAAAGCCTGTTGATATTTTTATTAAAGTAGCTTTTTACGATTTTAACATTTTATTTGAATCAGTCTGATTTTAGGTGTTAAAACTATAAAATTAAAAATTTTGCACATTTTTAGATTTTCTCTTAACTAGATTTTTGCAAGTGAGTCTCTTAACGTTAAACTATTTACTCATAAATGCTTATTCTCATCTATTTCTATTATGATGTCATTAGTGTTTTACTGATTACTTAGCATTGGCTGATCCCAATCATTATTTATATAAAATAATATTTTACACATTGATTGGGGTATTATAAAATTAGTTATTAAGCAAAATACCAAAATGTTAAAGCAGGATTAATTTGATTTTTTGGACACCTACTAGACCCATAACCTTAACAAGACTCTAAGGTATTAAAATGAAACACATAGAGTAATTTGAATAATTTTTTTATAACGAAGTACCCCATTTTGTACTGTAGGCTAGAACTTATTACAATAAGAATTAAATCATGCTTTTAAATATAATTTATAGGGTTAAAGTTATAAATATTCCAAAATTTTAGTTGAAAATTAATATTAGCAATCAAAACATTAAGAAAGTTATAGGTATTCTATAAAAAATTATTTGTACATAAAAAGTTTTACATTTTTTTGAGTAGTTAGTGTAAGTTTTGTTGACTCAGAATGTCTTGCATTAATTAATAAATTTAGCTTAAAATTAGCATTCTTGTTTTTCTTTTTGCATTTTCAAAATAAAAAACAAAAGTGTTTCAAAAGAAGGAAATTTTAAATGCTTAATTACAACATTTAAAAGATGCTTTGACACAGTCATAAATTTTCATAATAAATTTAAATAATGCAATACAGGTATAAAAACTGTGTGATTTGCAAATTGGAAACCGTCTTTAATAAAATATAAGGTTTAAATGTTTTTTAAACAAATAGTTAAAGTGAAGTATTTAAATACGTAAAATTATAAGATTTGTTAATAATGTTTGACTTTAATTTGTTAACGTTATAGTTGAAAATATATTTATTCCATTACATATTTATAAATATATATTTGTATCATAAAATGACATTTTTGTAATATTAATAAAAAAAAATTGTTACCTATTTTGTAGTAATGTGATTTTATAAATACAAAAGTTAATCAAAGAATGAATTTTTTTACCTGCTTCATTTAACTCATTCAAACTCTACTAGACTGCTGAAGCATGCAGCTCAAAAGCACCTCTGTTAGTGAGTTCTGAAGATTATCCAGTTAGCTTATATTCATCAGAACTTTTCAACCTCAATATCAGTGTTGATGCTGCAAATTTGGTTTCTGCAAGTCCTTTTTCAAATGTAGAAAATGTTGTTTCACATAAAGCATTGATGTGTAATTCAACTAGTGCATTGTATCTAAATTCAGATGTTAAGATAATAGGTTCAAAATCTGAACTTGACACACGCACTCATAGTAAGCAAAATTTACTGCATCACATAGCAGTCTTGAATAGTTATAACCAACAAAGAAATACCACCAGAAAAAGGTATCATTTTTTTTATGTTGAGTAATTAAAGTTGTTTTTATAGAGTTTAATTATTAATGTATACAACTATGTATAAATTAAATATATAAATTTGAATGAAAAATCTCTGTGTAATTTACAACTTGTGTACAAAATCTGATCAGAAGCTCATTATTAGGTTGACTTGCAAAATTTTGTAAATTTATGTTTGAATTTTTTCAATCACTCTTTAGGGTCATTAAAAAACATTGTTTTCCCCAATCGTGTTCTATTACACAAGATATACTTTTATGTTATTTGCAATACAAGAGTATAAGTTATTTAAAGATTTGAAAAAAAAAGCTTTTGAAGTAAAAGAATTTGTGTTTTTTTTGCAAGGACTTAAATTCAAAGCAAGTGAAAAATGTATTTACAATAAAAGAATATTTAAAAATAAAAAAAATTTTATATTGTTACGTTACATTTATATTGTCTTTGATGATTTATAAAAATTAATATTAATTATCAAATTTAATTATATACATGTTCAACAATTTATAATTTATTGTAAGTGTTAAACAAAAACTAAAAAAATTTAATTTTACACTGTTTTTAAAAGGACTTCCCTTATATATTGCATAAAGTAACTTTCGTAACTTTAAAGCATACTTTAAACCATTGGCTACAAAATATGAATGAAATAAGAATGAAAAATAAATAAAAAATTTTTTTTAACAACTTTAATGATTTCTAGAAAATCTGGTAAGTCAATTATTGAAAATCTTTATTTAACAAGTTAGATTCCGTTTTTTAAGGTAAATAAAATTTCTATGAATTTCCTACTTTTATTTTAGTTGCTGGTATCTGTTTCTGCGTGAAAGCTAAATCCACCATAAGTGAATGGTTTAAATATTTCAGTTTGATTTGATGAATCGTACTTTTTTTTTGTGGCAATTACTGTTGCAGATGAATTATTTCTCGATATTTCGAAAGTTTTTTTCTCTTAAAACTTGCATTTGTATTAGTTTCTACTTGATTAACACCCATCAAAGGAAGAACGCTACCTTCGATGGGTGTTAATACTGCCTGTTGCCTCAGAATTCCATCTAATTAAAAACATTCTAAACCGCCTAATAAAATAAATAATTTGAAAAAATAAATTAATAAATATGTTAAGAAAAATAAATGTTAACAAAAAACACCTCAAAATGGATTTGAAATGTTTACTTTAGCAATAATTTTTCATTAAAAAATTACAAAAATGCATAAGTTAATTCAGTTAAATAAAATTCATTTTTTTTTAAATTAATAATAAAACAATTTTTTTGTAAGAATTTATATCTTAAATAAATTGTGAGTCTTTAATGAACTAAGAATGTATATATTAAGTAAATTGTGAGTCTTTAATGAACTAAGAATGTATATCTTAAATAAATTGACAAAAATCTTAATTAACTCTAAGATATCTTTTTAGATATGGTCTGTTTTTACAAGGAAGAAACTATAAAAACAAAAGAAATTATCCAATAAAATACTTAATAAACAATGTTTACTCTAAGTTTTTTGGTAAATAGATCCAAATGCTTTATTTGTATTTGCTGTAATACGTATTGAACATTATTTTACTGCAAGGTTTTTAAATGATTGGAATGCAGCCAACCTGGTTGCTACGGAAAAGCAAGCTTTAAGATTTTTTTGATATACTGAATTGTAATTGCCAAATTATTACTTATCAAGAGAAGAACTGTTTGTCAGAATTTAACAATGAAGCCCACATTAATTGCATGTGTAAAAAGAAAAAAATCTCAAAGAATGAGTTAGTTTTTATACTTAGTCAAAGAGCTAAAATAGAGACTAGAAAAGAGCTAAAACTGGTACACATCAAATCAGATCAAATCAGATCAATTATCAGTTAATTGATAAAAATTAATTAAACTCCTATGTAAAACTAATTTTAGTTGAATAATAAATATCTGCCTGTTTTTGACTTCACACAAAATCTGATTAAAATCAAGTTAAACTTTTGACATATGTTAAGACATACCAGTTAAAAATATATAATTAAAACTACTTTTACTTGAAATATTTTACAAAACATTATTTAAGCAAAATTAAATTACTTTATTTTTGGTTAAAAAGAAGTGTCTGAAGAACTGCAACAAACTATGAAGTCAGTAGTAAAGGTTTGAATTTTAATTTAGTGAAACAGAGGAACTATTTAATAACGAATGTTGCATAACAAATAGCAATACTGAACTCAATCTAATGTGCTGACAAAATGAAGTTAAGTAGCGTTTATGAGGACTAAGGAATTATAAAAGTATTTTCAACATAGCTTTAGCAAGTATGCGGTATGGTACAGGCTTACAGTAAACAGTTGTAAGTGCAACGACAGTTTGGATGGATGTAAGTATTATCAAAGAAGACAATACCAAGTTAGTTTTTGACTACAACAAGTGAGCTCAAGAAGTGAGCTCAAAAAGTGACCACAACAAGTGAGCTCAAAAAAAAATTATGCAGTCTTTCTAGAGAGTTTGACACTCAATGCAGGACTTGCATTATTGATTGCGTTTTTTTTGATGGCAGAATTGATAATTCAAAAGTTCAATTAATAGTTGAAGGTTTAACTAAATATTATCTTGCAAAAATCAAAAGGGATCATTACACAATACATCAAAAGCGCAGTGGTAGGTATTTTTTCCATTTCACACCTAAAAAAGTTCAAAAACATTAAACACGCTGAAGTAATCGCTCAGAATTTTTATGAATTTTTGCGTCATCTGATGATAAATAATGATTGAGAGACTCTGAGCAACAACAAATAAGGAGGTAGTATTAAAAAATGATTAAATGGCATAACTGCTTTGGAAATAAATCTATCTTTTGAAAAAATTGATATATCCAAAATCTCCTTATTACTTCAAAGGATGAAGTAATTAAAAATTTATCCTCTGATCAGTTTTATAGGTATAAAATAGTCTCTGCCATTAAAAATATACCTGCAGATTTGGCTTTACTTCAAATTAAACCAGTTAATTATTCCAGACGATTGACTACTGCCAACAGACTTTTCAGAGTGTGGGTCTCAAAACATCAGTTTTTCAGAGTGTGGGTCTCAAAACATCAGTCTCAAAACATCAGTTGGAAGGCAAGAATTTAAAAAACCTAAAATTGTTAATTGAGTTCATCGTGGGAGTTTATGTGCCTATGTAATGTATGTTTAAAACCAAAGTCGAACACAGGTTTACTTAAGGATTAAGACACATTGTTTACCAGCTTAACCTTCTGAAACGTCAATCAAGTGAAGTAACTGTATTTGTTATGCCAACAGTTTGACGTTCAGGGTATGCTTTCTATGAGTCTGTCATACAGACCATGCAGAAGCAGCAACCAAAGTTTATTCTCATGAAAAAAGGGATGGTTTTATAAGAGGGCAGGATTTACCGAGACTTAATTTTACTTTATTTCTACTAATCGGTCAAGGAAAGATTTGATCTTAATGATAAAGATAACTGAAATAAAGATAATTGAAAGGATTCTTATTTTGTACAATAGATGACTAAACAATAGATAAATGATTATAAATAAAAACTATTATAAAAGTTTTAATAACAATAGATAAAATAAAAAAAGATTAAAAAAAATTTAGGCTGTCAAAAATATACAACCACAAGCAAAAATTAACTATTTTCTCAAGAAATTTTCTGTGAATTTAAATGAATCCTAAATCATGGTTTCCTGGTAGCTTAATCATTTTGGATTTTTTAATCCAAGTTTTTTTTAGTAATTTATACAAAAATACAAGTTTTTAGAATACAAGGTTTTTAGTCCATAAGAAAAAAATAGTATGACACATCCTAATATTCATGCATTACATATTTTTAGCTCCTAACATGCAACTTTTTCTTATTAGAAAAATTCACATAAATTTCTATCACATTTTGATGCAATAATATTAAAATTGTTTATAAATGTTGTCAATTGATGTGTTTGGCAGTTTTTAAGTTTTTAATTATTCAATAGATGTTTTATTCTATTCAGATTTTGGTTTATTTATCCAAATCCAAGGTCTTTAAATTGAACAAATTAGTTTTTTTAAGCTTGTTTTATCTTTAGAAATTCAGTAAAATTAACTTGCTTAAAAATACTTGAACATATTAAATATAAGATACATTCATCACAAAGTGTTGCTAAAAGATGTAGAATTTTAAGAAAAAAAAAATGGTCTTTTTTGATAGTTTAAAAAATCCAAACAGGATTGTTTAGATTTTTATGGTAATTAATCAGAAAATACTGATAAAAAAGAAATAAAGGTTTTAGAAAACATATAAATAAATATTCCAAAAAAATGAGTCAAGCTATAAAAAATTGAGATAAGTTGAAATGTTTAAGAAAATAGAGTACTTGAGTTGTTTTGCAATTTTTTCTTTTAAACATCTTCGCTTCCAACAAGGCTGCAAGCAACCACTAATTATATTTGGAAGTTACTGAAAGAGAAAATATGAAGATTGTAGAAGAAAATAATGATTGACAAACGACTTTAAGGATTGTGAGTTATATGAATCAGGAAAGTGAATTCCAAAGAACTGTTCAAGAAAAAAAACTAGACAAATATGAGTTTTTAGAGCACTTAGGAACAGTTACAAAAAAAGGATGAGACTTAATTGAATGATGAGTAACACAAGAATGAATTTTAGTAGATGGCACAAGAGACACTGCTCTTTAGAGCAGTGCCCATTATAGTATTTGTGGAAAAGAGAAAGAGAAGCAGCGTTACCATGACGTGATAATGGTTGGAGGTTGGCTGCACGAGCAGGTCCAACTATATTTACAATGCGTTTTTGCACCTTGTCTAAAGGAGAAAGGGCATCATTAGAAGATCTCCCCAGATATGGCAACAGTATTCCATACAAGGATGAATTTGAGATTTATAGAGAATAGAATCCGGAGTTAGAAAGTGTTGAGCACAATAAAGAGATACAACCTTAGATGCTAGTTTTGAAATGGATTTGAAATATGGTTTCCAAGAAAGATCAAAAATA